CCTTAAGCCCCACACCCCTAAACCCTAAACCCTAAAGCCCTAAACCCAAAGCCCTTATCCCTAAACCCTAAACCTTAAACCCTAAATCCTAAACCCGAAACCCTCAAACGCTAAACCCAAAGCCCTTATCCCTAAACATCTAGCAGAGATCGCTTTTTTGGGTCTCCAGGGCTGTCCCGTGGGACCTGGTCGGCCCTGCTGGCGGAAAGCCGAGTTTCAGGAGCGCTTGCGCTGTGCTTCAGGGTTTTACGGGTTTACTGTAGGGGTTAAGGGGTTTGGGGGTTTAAGGGTTTAGGGTTTAGGGGTTAGGGATTTTTAGGGGGTTAGAGTTTGGGGAGTTTGCGGGTTTAGGGGTGTATGGGTTCAAAGGTTTATGGGTTTAGGGGTTTAAGGGTTTGGTTCTGGGGGTTTAGGGGGTTTAGGGGTTTAGGATTTAGGGTTTAGGGCTTAAGTTTTGGGGTTTAGGGTTTAAGGTTAGGTGTCTAGGGCTTAGGGGTTTAGGGGTCTGGGGATTCAGGGGTTCAGGGGTTTCGGCTTGAGGGGTTTGGATTTGGGGTTTAGGGCTTTAGGGGTTTAGGGTTTAGGGTTTAGGGTTTAGGGTTTAGGGTTTAGGATTTGGGGTTTAGGGCTTTAGGGTTTAGAAGGAACCTCCAAAGGGACCCGAAGAGGCGCCCTCAGCCGTTTAGGAGTTTGAGGGATTCAGGCGCTCCAAGGGTGCAGGCGTCGCAGGCGTCTAGATCTTCGCCGGTGGCTTAGGGGTTGGGGCTTTAGGGTGTTAGGGTGTTAGGGTGTTAGGGTGTTAGGGTGTTAGGGTTCAGGGTGGCGGCTATAGAGCTCTCTGCGCTTACCCCTAAACCCTCTATATAACACCTCAACCCCTTAAAAGAATTGCAACAGACGACCTAAACCCTAAACCCTAAACCGGACAGACGCCAGAAACTCTCCAGGAGATTCTCGCAGCCGGGACGTGTGTTGAGCCTGAAGCCGAAGAGCTCCGGCAAGAGCTTCTGGCCCAGAAAGCGAGTGGCAGTTTAGGGTTCAGTGTTTAGGGTT